TTTTACTCAAATCCCAGCATTTCGGAGGTCTTCTCTGGTCAGCTTTCATATTCTGCTTTCTTTTCTCTGTAGCACGTATTGATGATATAGTACATCGTTGATCTTCATTATTCTGATTCCACACTATCAAGTTTCCTACCTGGTAAAATTCATTTGAAACTTCAAAATCAATGCTTGTGGGATTTTTTGCAGATCTATATGGCTATATGCAGAGTAGTTAAAAAATGTGAGTCATCCAGTATGCACATGGTCAGCTGGAATTGAACTAGGCAGTGCTCTGCCTTCTGGTTTCAGCTCTCAAGTGTTCTTTATGATCTCTCTAGTGCCGTGATTTTTACGTTTGGGCTCTTTTTTTGGTGATTTGGCTGTTTAAATTGACTCCCAAACATAGTGCTGAAGATCTATAGGGTTCCTAAGCATAAGAAGGCAGTAACATGCCTTATAGAGATCATATGTGTGTTATTTAAGCTTCATTCAGGCATGACTTACAGTGCTGTTGTCCAGAAGTTCAATGGTAATGACTCAAATGTATATTAAATGAGGGGCCTATAAATAGAAATGTCCCTAAAACAAGATTTGATATTATCCATTTGACAAAAATGTAACAAGAGGTTCCTAGGTATCCAAGCCTGTATTTACATTAGGAGCAACTATAGTTGCTAACTCAGTGTCACAAGGGACTTTATAGAACACAATGAGCACAAGTAATGAGAATCAACTATACTTTTGTTTATTATAATTGTAAAATATATAGCCATCTGCCAATTCTCACTAGAATGTAAGCTCCATGAGGACAGATTTTTTTGTTGACTTATTCATTCCTATGCCCCCAAATCTGAGAAATGGGAGCTTGAGAAATATTTTTAATATATAAATGAATGAATACATAAAGCAATTACAAATAATGAACAAGTAATGAATTATTAAATACAAATGAGTTAAATACCTAAGCATTGCAATAAAGATAACACAAATTGAAAATGAATGAATAAACCAATTATGGCAAATGTGTCTCTCCAGTCTTGATCCTAGCATCATAGAATTAAAAGAGTAACAAGATACGAGTTTTGCTTGAGTATTTCATGATTAATATAGTCAAATTAAATGACTGAAAAAACTATAAGCTGCCCTTCTCTTTCTAGTCTAGTAGGTGCATTTCATACCCATTTAAATGACTGAATGTTTATTCTATCTGTGAATCCACCTATAGTGACAGTCAACATTATCTTTAACATTTTAATTTAGTATCAGAACATGACCTTTGAATGTTTAACTTTTCTTGCCTATTATTTTCATAAATGTAGTAATATGAAACTTTAGAAATGTACAGTTTTCCTAAGGATTATGTAATTTGGGGGGACTACTTGGACATATCATAGTGATGTTCATTAATGTGTGGTCTTAAGCAAGTGACATAACTCCTTTGTTTCAGTTTGCTTGTCTGTAAATGGAGAAAGTAATAATGCCTCACTTACAAGATTATAAGATATAGCCTTAACTATGAGTACTTTCTTCATGGAAAAAACATACATTTCTGAAGTTTAAAATAAAAATAACAGAGGTAATGGTAGTATATATTAAGTGGAAGACATGTGATTCTAAATTTAATTTCCTGGACTATTTCAAGTAAGTCAAAAATACATATTTTGTTTCATAGAGCTGTAAAATATTTACTTTAGAATATCTTTTATTTGAAATTCATAATGTTGTATCAATATATGCAAATGTGCTCAGATGTTCCATTTCAGTGGTTACATTATTTTAAATTGAGTATGATTAGTATGAATATCTATTTTCTTTCAAAACCTATTAGCATGAATTTTACATTTTTAAGCAGAAATGAGTTATGCTAATATGTTAACTCTTGAGGTTCTGTCTATGCCTTTAATTATCCTTTAAATGTGTTTCTTGTTCACATAATAAAAAGTTCTCAATAATGTCAAAGAGTCTATTTTTCTTTGTTAATGTTATAGTTTTTAGAAGGCAGACACAGGTATTCCCTTAAGACCTGGCTATTCCCAGGATAGTACATGGTGTAGTCTCAGTTTTGGCTGTTATAACAAAATGCCATTGACTACTGGTTTAAATTTTTTTAAAAATTTCTCACATTTGGGATGTTGAAAAATATCTAATATCAAGGTGCTAGCCTGTCTCTGATTAAGACCTTTTTCCTTGTTTTCAGACAAATCACCTAGTTGCTGTATCCTGAGATTATACAGTTATCATCTCTGTAGCATCTTTTCTTCTAAGGGCATCCACAACATTTGTGAGAGTACCACTTCTTCTTTCATACACTGATCTTATTTTATAATTGCCATACTATAGATATCGTTGCTGTGGTTTCTTTTATATTTTAAATATTTTAAAGATTCTTTCCCCTTGAAAATCATTATCTCATTGTACAAAGATGCTCTAGTATTGTTCTATTTATTGTGATCATTCAGTTCTAATAATGATACATTTAGGCAGAACTATTTGACATATGCCTCTGCTAGGCCTCTAGAAGTTTTATTGTTTTCATGTACATTTTCCTCATAGTTTTAGTTGGTAACCTATAACAAGTAGAAATGTGAGTACAATGCACACTCCTACTGGGACCAGATTATAAGATTGTAAACTTGTGTGCTGTTTCCCTAAATTGAACCACAGAATATTTCTTCTCATTCATAAATGAGTATTTTGAGTCTCTCTATTTGGAAGGGGCTCTAATTTTCAGATAACCAGCTCAAGTTCTTTTGAGAACTTACATTCCTTCAGAAATATTAAAAGTAAACTCTTTAAACTTTTAACTGCTAAGGTTTATATCTATAAAGTCCCCAAATCATTTGAATTGAGTATCCATCTCCTTCTTTAAAAAAATCTGCAATTAACTTTTGTTTCGAATGAATGTATGTGTGTGTGATACGCATACATGAGTATACGTGTATTTACAATTTATATGTGTTTGGAATTAGAAGCAGTTTGTCTCATATTTAATAGTCTTCACTAAGATTGTTTCCTATTCAAAACTAAATAATATTCAAAACTAATTAATACCCACTGATAGGAGGGAACATAGAAAAGTTTTTTCTCTGTTCCCTAGTAATTCAGCTCACAAATGTATGGTTCTGATTTATAAAAGAGTTCATCACAGTCAAAACTAAAATTATTATATTATTCTGAAAGAAAATTGTGGGAAATAGGAAGTTGGACATTTAGTGTTTGATATCTGATTATTAGATAATTCTGAGAATGACCTCTCGTAGGACAAGTAGATATTCTGTTAACAGAATCATTTGATTTAAGAGGACTATCTTAAGTTAGAATCAGGGGCAGGAGCACTTTTTAGCACATTTGGAAAGAAACTAAAATAAGAATATATTTTTCTCATTTTTTGAACATACTTGTGTTTCCATGATTTGCTTTTAGTTTACGGCAGAAACTAGTTAGAATTCTTGGTCAGCTGATGGCTATTCACTGCCATTTAATAGATTATGGGGAAGAAATCTACACCTGTTCTGAACCTAACACTCTTTAATTGTAGTCCTACTTATTCACCTCCAATCAGAATGCCAGTCAAGTTTCAAATTTTATTTTGTAAAAGAATCAGTCATTTTTACATTTAGCCAGTGTAATGTTGGTTTCAAATGAGAGAGTGGTAGAATAGGGAAAACAAAGAGACTAGATATAGAAATGCTTCTTAATGTTGCCTATACTTACATTTTATATAAGATGAAGAAATGTATACACATTCCTTTTAAATACTATGTAGGAGTGCAGCAATAATCTTATTTCTCTTTATAGCTTCTGATGTCATCCTGATCAAAATTTCTATCAAAAATATCCAGACCAATATCAAAATCATAGAAAAAGCTGCCTTTAATAGAGGACTTTGGTGTTTAATCCTTTGAAGCATATGAGAAGCAAAGATATGCCATATGCAAAGTAAAATCTTCTGCAGACTTTGAAAATACCAAAGGTAACTTTTAAGTGCACTTACCATTTTCATCTTTACAGATAAAATGACTACCAGGCAGGCTTATAGATGTTCATGGGTTTTCTCTATCATTTAAATGTTTTTGAAATGAATAACAAAAATAGTTACCTTCTCTAAAAGTCAAATAGCATTTTAAACTACTTCCATGTTATATACAGTTTTTAAACATCTAAGCTGACAATTTTTCTCTGAAATATAGACTTGTGGCTAGATATACATCATTAAAGCTAGAATGCCTAAGTGCAGCATTAATAGTTGAGTACAAAAATTGATCATAACTTGCATACTTAGTATAGGTATACTTGTAGATATGAATATGCTACAATATGTCACAAATAACTACATATATTAAATATTTTCTAATCTCAGAGGTTTTTTAAAAATTTGCCTTTAAAAACTATATTTCAACTGTAAATGCTTATAAGCAACAGATAAAGAAGGAATTTTTATATGTACCATATAAAACAAACTTTTTTGATATACAGTGAACCCTTGACTTATGAACTCAATCGGTTCCTGAGGGTTGGTTGTAAGTCAATACAGCTCAGATCTGGATATTTACCTGGGTACATACTACAGATAACAAGAGGCAGATGAATCTTCCATTAACCTAATCAGCCCAAATTGTTCGTATGTCAGGCCAGTCTGACTTGAGGGTCCACTGTATTTATCTTTGGCAAAGCTATAAAATACTACAGCAAAAGATTAAATTTAGTCTTCCTGGAAAAAACATTTATTATTATTAATAATTTATATTTCCAAAATTCGAGGAAAGTGACTCTTTAAAAAATATCTATATGTACCATGACAGAAAAGGGACAGAGAGTGTGCACCCAGTGTACCCACACAAGGCTGATTTTGTTCTTCAAAAACTTTTCCAAGCTGAGTAGACAATACTGGCAGAAATATAAAAGAACCTATTTTGGCAACTCGTTTTTATGTAGTTATAAAAACAGATGTAGTAAAGAAACACAATTCCATTTCCCTGATTTCAATGTTCAGTAGTCAACAGGAATACACTTACCTCCTTGCCTTCTCATAAAGCCTAAAAAATGCTTCTGCCTAGATAGCCTTGGTTTGTTACAATGATCCTCAGGATTCAGCAGAAATCAGTCACCTGGCAGCTTCTTTTTTTTTTTCTTTTTCTTTTTTTTTTTTTTTGGTACTGGGGATCAAACTCGGGTCCTTGCGCTTGAGCAGCAGGTGGCGAAACCACTGAGCTAAATCCCTGGCCCTTCACCTGGCAGCTTCTTAAAGCGCAGATTTCTGAGCTCTACACCCAGGTTCTAACTCAGTAGGTTTGAGATGAGCCAAAAATTTGCATTTCTAAAAACATCTACCATAATGCTGACATTCCTGACCCAGGGACCATACTTTGAGAATCACAGAATAAATGGATTTTACTCATGCAAATGAGTCACAGCTTTTTAAATTTTCAAGAAGAGAGATAAGAAAACACTTTACACTATTAAGATCTATACCCTTCTGATGTGTTAGAAGTAGTAGTGATCTGAATTCTAATTTTATTGAAACTTCCAGGGGTGATTTTAAAGCCAAGTGGAATTAATTAAATTAATTGAAATTATAATCAATAATACCAAGAATATAATGGGTGCTACATTAATTCATTTGAATCAGTGTAACATACTCGTCCCTTTTGTTTGTTTGGTTTTTTTTTTTTTTTGGTACCAGGGATCAAACTCGGGACCTTGCGAGGCAGGCGGCGTCCCTTTTGGATTTATCTTTTGCAACCATTATTTACACTGAGAACAGGGAGAAAATCAGGTATAAAAATGTCCTTTGAGATATCTTAAGATTATTTCAGAAAAAAGCAAATTATAAATACATTTTAAAAATATATTACCTGTTCTTCACATGTCTATTTCTAGTCCCTTATATACTTATTAGAAGATATTTGTAAAATATATTTGAGAATTTGGTTCAGTGGTTTTGAACAGTTAGGGACAATGTCAGAAATATGAGACTTCTCATGAAGGAGAAAAGAGGGGCCAAAGTACTGCAGAACAAGAAGGGTTTCCTACCTTGTCCTTGGCATTTACCAGCAGTCTGGTATTTGAAAATGTTTAACTTCCTGCAGTCACGTTATTTATTTCTAAAATGGCAATAATTTTGGCTACTAAATTGTTGAAAATAAAATTAAGTCAAATAAAAAAAAAACCTAAATGTAAGTGACTGCAATCTAGCATATTTAGTGTTCTAAAATAGTCGATGGGTGCCATAGTTAATAAAAGGAAAGTGTCTTTGGATTCATTTGATTTGATTTTTAATGTAATAGTGAGTTATTACTTAGAACTTACTAATAAAATACCTGCTTTGAATTCTGATTTAGCAGGGGGTTTATATGTTAGTCTCATCTAGTCTATGATTTGGTGTTCTTTCCCACAAGATGATGTTTGCTTTTGGTTATATTTTATCATTTTTAAAAATATTCACTGAATACTCATGAATTTCTTACACCAGAAATATTATACTGTGGAAAATAACCCGATGTTTAAACTATTTAGGTTAACATTAAAATAATATTTGAAAATGACAGGCACATTTTCTGTGCATTGTACTGCCTTTTTCTCTATGTATTTGCATGTATGTGTGCACAATTGCCCTTGTTTGCAAAACTTAGCATGAATATCCACGGAAGGAGAGATTTCAGATTTTCTGTATGAAATAATGTAGACATGGTCGGGGTGAAAGTGATATATCTTGGTTGGAAATAAAAGAGTCTTATAAAAAAGACCCTCTGTCAGGAATGATATCCTGTGTGTGTGCTCTTTGCCTCTGTTGATGACAAAGATGTGACAAGTTGGTGCCTCTGAGTGACGATACTGAAAGCAAAGAAATAGCTTTCCAGGTGAACTTTGAGCCATGTGTCTGCAGCACTTCTTTTTCTACAATGAACAATCTTATTTGTGGGAGGTTATTATCCATCAATTTTTAAAAATAAATATATTTAACTATAAATGTCAGTTTAAAAATCCCTCAAATCTATACATATTATAGGATGTTCAAATTAAAGGAGAAATACGACTCCATGTGATCTCTTGTTTTCCTTTTAAATTCTTTCGAGCTTTTGCCTTTTTCAAGGCTTGGTTAAAATGCTGAGACAACATACTTCTTATGCTTTAATCTTGGGGGATACAAACAGCTTTCAGTATAGTGAATTCAGAGTAATAGGAAATGAATTGGAATTTGGCTTTAGGGGATATTTAACAAAATAACACACATTAATACTGATAATTTCTTTGTTTTTCATCAATATACAAGTCTCAAAGACACTAATAAGTTCCATATGTATAATTTGACATGTAAAATCTGTGTTCACTCCAGCCATTCTGAGAAATTTCATACAATTTTGAGGTCCACGTAGTATACTAACAACATGCTGCTCCTTCATTCCAGGCAAGAAATAACTGTCAAGGGTTTCCTTTTATATGGCTCAAAGATGTCTAAACTATGTATAGGAAAATGGGCTAGACACAAACTAAAAGAGAAGAATTGCTTTTCAGTGAGACAATTAATTATATGTTACAAATGTTATGTAAAATCCACAAATTTAAACCAATTGCTAAAGCTAAATCTAGTCACTTAAGGTCCATCAGTTTATACTGCTGCCTTATCTCTGCTAAAGTTAATTATGTGTGTTATTTAAAAATGTGAGCTATATTTCAGTGTCAGCTATGCAAAAGCAAGTCAAAATACTTTGCAGCATCTTAAATACATTTTATACTTTCAGAAATCCAGCAAAATAGTGAATGCCTAATGGCAAAATTAAGGACCAGATGCTTAAGTATTTGTAGCAACATATTGCTTTATCATATGAGGCTCATTGATTCTTTTCATTAAAAATTATCTTTAAGATGTGGAATACCTGAGCTAATAACTTCCTATTAATTGTAGATTCTCATAAACTAAGCAGGGGAATGTGATAATAGTCATTTCAGATAAATACTTCCTTAAAAATAAATATATATTAAATGAGATATTCATCCTGTTTGTCCCTTGTGAAGATCAAAATTGTCTAGAAATGAATATTCACAATTCTGAAAATTTTCATCAATCAGTAAGTTCATTTTAGATGATACAAACTTTATCCACACAATTGCTGTGATAATTTTATACTACAATGGTATATCAGTGACATTGCAAGCTTGATAAAAATTTGAACTGGGCTGGTGATTTAACTCAGTGGCACCATGCCTGCAAACGCAAGGTCCTGAGTTCGATCTCTGGTATTGAAAAAAACCAAAAATTGATCTGTCATACTACAAATTTTTCAACAAAAGTAAAATGCATTCATGGGGAAATAATCTAGATAAGGTACTTACCTCCCATCTCAGATGTATTGTTCATTTCTCACACATTCAGATTGTTCTTTTAATAATTTCTTAAAGACAATGGGTTTAGGTGGATATTTCTTTAAAAGTTTAATGGTGACATTAAACATCAGTGATATTTTTTGTGATGTTTCTTTAGACTGTTAGCAGCAGGACAGAACTTTTACATCACATAAATATATGATATGCACACAAACACACAAAAAATACTCTTTGGACAAGACCAACAGTTTCATTCTGTAGGCTATCCTTCAGACATTGCTCTGTGTATAAAGAAAAAGGAAAGAAAAACATGATATATTTAATAATTTATAGTAGAAAATGCTGATACAATGACACAGGGAAATCACTGATACAGTGAAAGGGAACCACTTCGGTTACATATGTTGCTTTTATAAAAAATAATTTTGAAGCGTCAATTTTTTTTTTTGAGGTACTGGGGATTGAACTCAGGACATAACGACGATCACAAATGTCCTACAATATTAGAAATGAGTTCATGTTCTGGGAAATTACATAATCTCAAAGAGGTTTCAAGAAAAAATACAGGTATCTATTTACATACTAGGTTAATATTCTCATATTTAAAAAACTATCAAAACTTCATTTCCTTGGGGAGCTGTTTCATAGTAATATATAATCTCAGAGATATTCATGGAATTTCAAAAATTTGTTTATAACTGGGTGTGGTTGTATTGTTTTTGACAAATTGTATATATAGTATTACACATTGTATGATAAAAAAATACAAGTAGCAAGATGATGGTATATTTAAACACTTTATCAATAATAAATCTAAAATGGACTACGCATTTCAAACAAAAGGCAGAGAACATCAAAGTGAATAAAAAAGCAGGAAATAACTGCTTTTTAAAAAGATGTACTCTAAATAAAGGAAATTTTAATTCAAAAGTAAAAGATTGATTGCATTAATAGGGGAGGGAGGAAGGTGATGGAAAAATAAGATGTGACAGGTACATGTACCAACTACCCACAATGAATGTATTCATGATGCAGCATAAATATGTACTAATAAAATAAAATACCATTCAGGACTATATGGAAGGTAGAATAGCTATTTTAATTATCAAAGAAATATAGATACCAAGAAAAGTAAAACTAGAAATAAAGTGCAACAGCCAAACATGGTTTAAAAAGTCCTAAATATGTATACCCCTAACAAAAGATCTTCAAAATACATGAAGTAGGAGCTGACAGTATAAAAGGGGAAATAAATCTATACAGGAGAGAATTGTGTAGGAACCAGTCTACAAGCTGAGCTCGAACCTGAGGAGGTGACAGAGATGAAAAAAAGACACTGAAACAAGTTAAAATGTGGGAGGCCAGGGGGCTCATATCTCCCTTCGACTGGAGTACCTTGGCTTTATTCACTCAGACACGGGCATGAGCAATTAGGATTCCACAGGATTCATCTGTCTCCCACCCTCCATGTTACTTCTCCGGGTAAACAACTTAACTTCAGGTGCTTCTACTTTTCCCTGCAACGTGTTAGTGCGTTTGCACGCCCTCTTCTCACGGCTCTCCAAGGAGACTAATTAGGCCTTATTCTTGTCATCTGATCTCCACGGGGGGGGGGGACTAATAAAATCAGCAGAAAAAAATTCAATGGCATTAAATAATACTATCAACCAAGTTAATTTAAATAGATTTTATAGAACTCAATATTCAAGAAGCACTGAATGTACGTTCTTTTCATATGTAATATAACTTCACAAATAGACAACACATATTGGCCAATTAACAATATTTTGTAAATTTTAAAGTACTGACAGCACGTAAGTATGGTCTCTGTTCATATAGAAATGAAAATCCGTAATATTTCTGAAAAATTATCAAATACTTATTAACAGTTGATTTCTAACAAACTCTGGAACTCAGTGGATGAAACAGAATTATTTTCACCAAACGATTCTGGAACAATTAGAAATCTATCTGTAAACAATTAAGCATTGACCTTTGCCTCATACCATCCATAAAAATTAGTTAGAATAGTTCATAG